TTTACAATGTCAACAAATATTCAACGAAAGCGATCTGCTGCAATATTATTTACTGGGTATAGTATCTGTGGTACCACATTGAAGCTTAATACACTATTTTTTACGATTGATGGGGCTATTAAAGATTATCAGAAACATCAATGATACTTTAGGCAGTATCGACCTGATAGAACAACCATTATTCTTCAAATACCAACAAAAAATCAACCAAAACACTACAAATAAATTTCCATATTTTAGTCTAATTGTTATAAAAAATGTATATCGTTAAGTGAAAAATGTATTGTCTAAAAAAAACACTCATCTTACATATAGACAATTTAGTATATTACATTACCGTTAAAAAAACAACGTAAGCTTGGTAATCAAAGGTAGCGATCGCTAGAGCTAGACACATTCAGCCAACGCAAACAAAAATGTAATAGCTCCTAATGCGAAAGTAATTATAGAGCGGTTAAGGCCGGATTGGGTCCCCACTTTACGCCTCAAATCACATTTATAAATAGCCACTTTATACATCACAAAAGGGATTTAATAATATAAAAGATAGGCTTAATGCTGTACACAATGACATGTGTCTTGCTCTTTTTGGTTTCACTATCGTTGAAGTGGATTAATGATTGTGTTAGTTTTGATCTGTACTGTATGTAGTCGAGGATTTGTATTCATATGCTAATCATAATATGTAATTTTGTTCGTTCTAGAATACCTGGTTTACTATTTGGTAACCATTAAGTATATGGATGTTAACATTTCTATATGCGATTTCATTATGATTATAAACTCACCGGCAAAAAAATCGGGCCACTAAAAACTAGACCCAATTTCAAAGTTGGATTTCTCGCCAACCGCTCATTAGATTTTGACGATTTTTTTTTAAATTGTACATTAATTCCTTTAATATACTTATAATATACAGGGCACAACAATAAGACGAAGTATTTTGCCTGAACTTTGTAACACCCTGTAGGTTGTAGCAGCTGTAGTAGCTATTGCTAAATTAAATCATATTGTAGCCTCTTCTTTTGTGAGCATTTTGTTTTTTTAATCACGACATTATCTCTGTTTGTATTGGAGATACGCTGCTTTAAAACAAACGCCTCGAAAAAGCTTTAGTTCACTGCTCAATATCCCAATTCACATGTAACGCGCCAACTGAAGACGTGCTCGACGATGTCTTGGAAGTAACTGGGATTCTGTGACCGGCCTCATTGCAGACATGCTGTTTTCTTTTAGTTTTCGGCGGATTGTTCTCTCACTAACTTCAGTTCTACGCACGGCTTGTAGCAGATGTTGATTCTGAAACATTGTAATTCCACGATTTTGTAAAGTATTCAGGACAATAAAGCAGTCGTCAGTGCATTTGTCTTCCGTTTTCCTCCGGAATCCACTCGCCTGGTAAAATTTCCAGTTTCCATATACCGATTCCAGGAATCCTGGACTGTTGTTCGAGGTATACCCAGGGTATCGGACTCATAACCTTGACTTCGGCCATCCTCAATTAAAACCACAATACGAGCAACATCCGTCAGAGATAATGGCATTTTTTAATTTGACAACCGTAGTTGCCATACTGCAAATACTCGCATAAATCCGTTTTTGCCTATGTCGCTTTGATTATTTACACATAAAACTTTCTGCCTGCGAAGCATTTTTCCGAGACGTTCGTTTTAAAGCAGCGTATCTCCAATACAAACAGAGATAATATCGTGATTAAAAAAATAAAATGCTCGCAAAAGATGAGGCTACAATCAGGGGCGGCTTGTCCTATGTGGCAGATGAGGCAGTGCCTCACCAATACATTTGAAGAATTACACGTATTAATCGATACATCTTTAATCACAATTTTAAATTTTTTCCCTATTTGCATCAATAATAATTATATTTTTTATCCGTCATTCTACAATAAATTACGTCGATGGTATTCCTTTAAACGCGCTTCCTTTCCCATATGCGACAAACTCGACGATATATATATATATATATATATATATATATATATATATATATATATATATATATATATATATATATATATATATATATATATATATATATATAATCTCATTTGTTCTTTAATAAGTATATGTGCAGAGGTTTGCCTCTCGCCTTTCCTTGTCTAATGTATTGTGGTAAATCGCATTGACGGAGCGACAGCGTTCACTGGAATCTTAAATCTATAGAATGAAAAGAAAAAGCATGGGCAAAACCTTTAGTTGAAGAGAGATAAAATGTATGGAGTAGTAGCGCATAAAAAGACCGTATTGAGGCGAGCCTCAAATGTAAATTTAAACCTTAAAAGCCGTTCGTTAAATATATGTATCACTTCCCGATCAGTTCCCGGCAATCAGCCCGAGAGATTTTAGGCGACAGCTGGCAGTCAAAAAGTAAAGCAACCTGTTACAGAGATTTCATTTTGTTTTGTTTTTATAGGATTGGTAGAAAAACAAAATTTTACCATACAGAGTAAAATATATAAGACAAAATATCCTGAGGTCGTTTTGATAAAAATTTACTGTTGCAATAGCCCTATGTAATAGGTACCGTATGATGAAAAAACGGCGTCCAGTTGGCTTGAAAATGACGATCGATGATATTTCCCATATAATTTTACATATAAAATGACAGCGATCTTCATTTCATAGCCATCGCTGACGCCGTTTTTATTCGATCATACGGTATAATACTGCGAATTATATTACATAAGGCATAAGGCAACTGCTAAAAATTTAGAAATATTTTAAATACAAAAATCTGCGCTTTTTAAGTCTGTAGGTATCTAAAATACTAAAAATAATATACAGTGTGTATTGCATTTAAAAAAATTGAGATATAGCATTATAATATTGCAATGTTGGCCGTGCCATAAAAAAATCCTTGTATAAAATAATGTGAATTTTTCTCGGATTTCTTCTTTTGTCCTACATACCTCGCTATAAACATACTTAAGCAATAATATATCAATAAGTTAAATTCACTCCAGGTTTTTACCACTTTTTAAAAAATGAAATTTTTCAAATATGAATTATCATGGAAATCCCGCATATATAGTGCTTCAAATAAATCAATAGTGTGAAGTATGCTGAAGTTTATGCTGAACCCAATTCTGTACAGAAAAATGGTAATGCGATTGCAATTTTACAGAAAATATTTTTTTAGGATATGCACTTCTTTTATATAGAAGTTTTTTTCATATATTTGTCAACTACGAAGATATTTTTTCTTTATACTAAAATAGGGCTTGTTTCTCTTGATAAAAATTCTCTTCTAATGTGCCTCACCATCTTCCAGTGCTACGAGCCGCCCCTGGCTACAATGTCATTTGATTTAGCAATAGCTACTACAGCTGCTGCACCCTACAGGGTGTTACATAGTTCGGGCAAAAAACTTTGTCTTCTTGTTGTGCCCTGTATATTCTCAAAATAAATTCGTAATATACATTTCTGACGTAGCATCCGTTAAGAAGGAATTAATTTACAATTTAAAAAAAAAAAATCAAAATCTAATGAGTGGTTGGCGGGAAATCCAACTTTAAAATTGGGACTAGTTTTTAGTGGCCGGTGAGAGAACATCCAAACATTTCATCTACAGGGTGGTCCGAGTTGCATTCGGGAAAATTTGGCGGTATATTCTGCAGATAGAATAAATAAAAAAGCTGTACAAATATATGTCCTAAAATGCTTCGTTTCGGAGATACAGGGTGTACAGGGTGGCGCCTCTCATACGTCGCGGAAGATCCAAGGAGACCGGTAGTTTATATCGAAATGAAATTGTGGCAGCAAATGTAAGAGCATTTTATAAAAGTATATAGAATTATACAGGGCGTCCCCAAAAAAGATACACATCAAAGTTGTGTTTTTTCTATTGGATAGTGTCTGGATGTTTTTTAACATGAGGAATTCGATTTCTATGTCAGTATGACACCTACATAATTTTAGCTGTTTCGAACAATAAAAACTTTTCGGCCGTACCTGTATTACACCATTATATTAATCAACACCCTATATATTAATTGATTTTCGGATTTAGGAAAAAATAAAGGTGAGTTTTATTAAAGAAGCATAATATACCTAAAATCTAAGGATTTTGCGAGGGATTTTGACATATTTCACATTTTGTGAAAATGAAGAGTACATTTTAAATATCGATAACAACTACCTAAATTTTAGTTGACCTTGTGTATATTTAATTACAGTATTTATTGTATATTAAACCAAATTGAAATTTTACTCGAAAAGTTATACAGGGTGAAACAAAATTAATATGGAACATTAGTCACTTTTAAAAGCAAGTTACTCCTTTATTATGGAACACCCAGTATGTTTTTCCGGTGTTCAATGGGGAATTTATACATCTTCAAAATATTATTAAAGTTGCCTACCCCTCAGATCAAAAATTTTCCTAGATATTTTAATTTTTATGATTTTGCGTCAGTAGATTTTTATTATTTGAGAAAATCTAGGTGGCTGTGTTAATTTAACAAAAATTAAAGATTGTAGAGTAAAATACTCAACGGTAATAAAAAGATACACGTTTAAAACACATTTTAATTATTACTGAATGAAAACTAGATGTAAACCTATAATTATGTGTCTAAAATTAGCTAGATGAAATCAAATGCTCAAAATGCTTCCTTTCCTGTTAACTGCATAAAATGGTGTCTTTTCAAAAATATATTTTCATTTTAAAAGGCATATGTAGTAATATGAGTTCTACCTCGAAAAGCAGCTACAATAATTTCTCTCATGTTGTCGACAATAGTTGGTCGAGTTTTGTAAACACTATCTTTAACATATCCCCATAAGAAAATCCGGACTAGATAAAATCAGGATCATTTAAGTATTCTATTAATTGGCGAATGCACACCGCATTCTCATGTCGATCAGTGAAATTAGAAGAAGAGTAATAATGGGTTTATAAGAAAGGTAAATAAAACAATACGCAATATTCGGACATCTAATTATATTTTTAAAAAAGGAACATCATTGTCATCTATCCACAACATTTTCACAATAAAATCAAACCGTTCCGGTCATTCACAACAATATATACACAGGGCCGTACTATAGTCTTTACGTTTTTATATTTACACAAATCGGATTGTCAAGTTCTCCGTCCCAACAACGACACACACGCGTTACACCATCTGCAGTCCTTTCGCCAAACTCTCCACGTGCTCTTTGGCCTTGAGTCTTAGGGCGGCTATCGACGTCGTCCTCAAATCGGGCGGCGTCGTTCCAGGCGAGTGTGAGTGCGCCATGGGCGGCGCGCTTTGCCTCACCGAGTCCGCCGCCACTGGTGAGGTGAGGTAGCTGGGGTAGCCGGTCTGGGGGTGGCTGAGGAAGCCTGGTAGAGCGGAGAGGAGAGGCGGTGAGAGCCAGGGGTCCATGGGCAGGGTGAGGCCGGTGCCGCCTGCCGCTCTTGAGAGGGTGGCTGCGGCGTGGTAGTCGCTGAGACCTAGGCGGGCGGCTTCCATTTTTTCTTGGCGGCGCCACTTTGCTCGTCGATTCTGGAACCACACCTGTAATATGAAATGAAGAAGTATTAAATAAGGTTTTGCCTGTGTGGTAAAATAAAATAAGTTTCAAAATATTTTGCCGAGGGGCAAACCGCTGCGCTGGTGGTATTTATTGTACAAGCTGGTATTTTTTGGTATTAATTTGGTATTATTTGGTAATAAACTGGTATTATTTGGTAATGAACTGGTTTTATTTGGTATTAAACTGGTATTAAACAGGTATTTTGTTGGACATCTGGCAACGTTGGATTAGACGCACGTGGCGACGACGGCCGGGAAGCTGATTGCATCATTTCTAGCCCATTTGCATCTAAAGCTAATACTGAAAAATATCTGGAATCTAAATGTGCTTTGACAAAATCGTTTAGTTCTGGAAGTCTTTCTGAAGATATCACTCTACATGTTTTGGAAACTGATTATACCCAAGAAAATAATATAGTTTCTAAAATACTAAAGCAATGGTTAAAGTCAAAAATTGGTGATGAACTCTGGAGCACCCTAAACTGCAATAGTTTGTTTAATAACATTATTTTTAGCACATCAATTTTACTTCCAAATTCTACTGCAAACTTCGAGGCAAACTCGATTTCGGGATCAACTTTAATATGCAAAATAACCTGCTTTTGTAAAAAGCAAGTAACTTTACAAATAAAATATTATTCTTCTACAAAACCACAAAAACAAGAGTTACAAAGGCACGCTGGGTAAGCTCAAATTTTCAAACACACTTGATAAAGCATTTTGATATAACAAATAAATTATTTATACCAAAAATTAGTAATAATCGCAGTGTTAAATCCGAGGTTAAATCAGAGGTAAGCAATAATTCTTCAAATATCTCTCAGGCACAACCAAAAATAACTTCATTTCTAATAAAGCCTTCTACCGAGCCATCTACGGAAAATACCGAGGAAATTACAGAGGCATGCAAACCCTCATGTAGCAAAATTGTACCCCCTAATCTAATATGTGAAGCTCCTTGTAATCAAAGAAATCCTAATGTAAAAATAGTAAACTGCGTAATTATCCCCCCAACTAAACGAGCCTCGGAACTACCCTTATCAGCCACCACTTTAGCCATACCATCCACAAGCAATAATAATTATCTCCCCGATGTTACCCCTTTACTACCATTATCAGCTGCTGCTTCGACCTTACCGTCAACAAGCAATAATTCAATTTGGAAGTCTACAAAATACAGCCGCTCGCAAAGGAATAAAAGAAAAATTGAAAAGTTTCAGTATAATCTTCTTCTTCTTCTTCTTCTTTCTTTCTATTATGGTTGCCCATATAGGTAGGCTATCGCCTGTTCAATCCTAACAAGTCTTCCCCGGAGGACGACGTCCAGCATTCTCTCCACCGTTTTGGCGGCCTTCCTTGCGACCTTTTTCCAATTGGGTTGTTTTGTTGCGCTTTTTTTGCTAGTCTGTTGTCGAATTTGTGACGTTAGACGCCATTCGTTTGATGCCAAACAGTGAGTCATCATCCAGTCACCAGCGACAATTTTGTTCCAGTGCCTTCTCCTTGTCTAACCCATCTTCCTATATCCTGGATTTTGCTCCACTCTCTAATATCTTCGTTTCTCGCTCTATCATGTAGTGTTTTTCCGTGTATGCTTCTCAGCACCTTCATTTCTGTTGTTCTCATCATTTGCATTGTTTTGGCCGTGTCTGGTCTTGTTTCGGCTGCGTACGTGATGACTGGTCTTATCGCGGCTTTATATATTCTAATCTTGCTCTCTGTGTTGAGATACTTGTTCCTCCAGACGATGTCATTTAAACAGCCCGAAATGCGAGACGCCTTCATAGTGTGTTCTCTAACTTCTTTCTGCAGGTTGCCATAACTTGATATTCCAACCCCTAGATACTGAAAGTGATTCACTTGTTCGATCAGTTTTGAGTCCACTTCCAGTTTGCACCTTACCGCCTCCTTGGATGTTACCAGGCATTTTGTTTTTTCGGTGTTGATTATCATGTTTAATTGTTTGGCCTTTAGATTAAACGCATGTAGTAGTCTCTGAAGATTGTCCTCTGTATCTGCAATGAGTACTGCATCATCAGCGTAGCATACAACGTGGAAGAAGGTGTTTCCCATTTTGTAACCTGCCGTTTTTGGTAGATTTTCTATTATTTGATCCATGATTAAGTTAAATATAAATGGGCTGAGGGAGTCACCTTGTCTTATTCCTGTTTGGATGAGTATCTCGTTAGTAAACAGATGTTGAACTTTTATTGCTGTTTTGCAGTTGGTGTTGATGTCATATATTAAGTTGATTAGTCTCGGGTTTAGTCCTTTTGTTTCTAGAATCTGCAATATATCTGTCAGGCGTACTCTATCGAAAGCTTTTGTCATATCTACAAAACACATATACGCTGGCTTATTAAGTTCCAGGGACTTTTCAACGATTTGTCTAACAATGAATATTGCGTCAATAGTCGAGCGGTTTTACGGAATCCTTGTTGTTCGTCTCTAATTTGTATAGTTTTACTGATTTCCTGTAGTATTGTCTTAGTGAATGCTTTTAAGGTGCTGTCTAATAATGTTATTCCGCGATAGTTTTCTGGGACTGTTTTTTGACCTTTTTTAAATATGGGTATCGTTGTGCTGTTCTTCCATTCGGCGGGTATTTTCTGTTTACTAATTATGTTCTGAAAAAATGCTAATATTTCTTTCTGCGGGTTGGGTCCGCCGTATTTGAGCATTTCGTTCGTGATTTCCTTAGGACCTGGGCTCTTTCGATTTTTGAGGGATTTAAAATTATCTTCTATCATCTCAATCGTTAGTTCTATATTGTTGTCGTCTTCCGTGTCTATTATAGGCTGCTCGATTTGTTCTGTTTCCCTATATAGATTTTTAAAGTACGTTTCCCACTGATCTATAGTAATTTTGTTTGTTTGTACTGTATCTTTTATTTCTGTTTGTTTCTCCTTAACATTCCCCAAATTCTTCTCTGGCTTCCATACATGTTCCTTTCCATTCCTTTCGTGAATCTTTCCCAATAGTCTTCTTTAATCGCTCTTATCGTCGCGTTTACTCTGTTTCGTTCATTTTTGTAGCTGTTCCAATTCTCTGGAGTTTTGTTTCGTAGATACCGTATATAAAATTCTTTCTTTTGGCTGGACAATTCCTTTATTTCTGGCGTGAACCATGGCGTGTTGTTAACCTTGTTGATGTTAATTTCTCTTTTTCCTATGGCTTCTTCGGCGGCACCAAGTATATTGTCTTTTATTGTCTTCCATTGTTCATCTATGTCATGTTCTCTGTTTGTTGGGTTTTCGTTTATTTTGTTTGTTAGTCTATTTTCAAAGAGTAGTTTTGTGTTGTTGTCTTCCAGAGATTCAATGTTGAATTTATTCATTCGATGTGGTTTTGGTTTTGTGGATGCGGGTATACTCAATCTTAGCTTACATAGTAGTAATTTATGGTCGCTGCCTATGTTAGCCGCATTCAGTGTTCTTACGTCTAATATTGTCTGTGGTGTTATTGATCTATTAGTGATAATATAGTCAATCACTGATTGCTGGCCCCTTGTGTTCTGCCATGTGTACTTGTACTTCATGTCGTGTTCAAAAAAAGTGTTGTTAATTCTCAGCGCGTTAACTGCACAGAATGCTTTAAGTAAGTCACCGTTATCGTTCATCATCTCTTCATTAAATCTCTGAGTAACCCCACCTAGTGGCTCAGTATAATCAACCTCTTATAATCAACTTTATTTTGATATTAGAGAAAATAAATTCTACTCTTAAGGAAAATGGAGAAATATCGAAAGCTCTTAAGGAAACGATGATGGTTGGTCTAAATGAACCCGAGAATGAACCTGATGAGAATAAGCCAGAATCGAGGCCAGAAGCAATGCCAGCAAACAAATTTTTAAACATGTTGCTTAAGACAGACTTTGGTACTAATTTGGTATCTTTGGTTCTAATTTGGTATTTTTTTACCAACATGTTGCTTAAGACAGACTTTGGTACTAATTTGGTATTTTTTTGGAAATAATTTGGTATTTTTGGTACTTTTTTCCCAAAATTGGTATTTATTGTACACCATTTTTGGCAGAGGTTTGCCCCTCGTATTTTGCTTTAACAAAATTGAAAATAATCATTGTCTTTGACTTTGATCGCATTTCTATACCCTAGTAGCAATCTTCAGGGTGATCTGAACTATATTCAGGTAACTTCCGTAGTATATTCTGCAGATAAAAATAAGCAAAAAAATTCGTATAGATGTATGTCTTAAAATGTTTAGTTTCGGAGATACAGGGTGCAGAAATTTCATTTTTATTTCGATTTTTTCCAAATAATTTGTGAAGTAACGTCAATATTTGGATGAAAATTGATGCCTGGGAGTTTTTTGACATGAGAAATTTAATTTTCATGTCAATACGACTCCTATTTGTAGGGGACGCCACCTACATGTGTTTTAACTGTTTTGAAGAGTAATAAAATTTCATTCCTACCTGTATAAAACTACTGAGTGGAAATATATACATTTCTCTTGCTAAAAATCGCTACGAACAACAGTTCTTAAGATATTTGCAATGAAAAAGTCAATGCATGTCATTATTGACAAAAAATAAAGATGTTGAGTAGATAGTTACTTGACTGAAATCATAAATTTTGGGAACTTTTTATTTTTTTAAATTAATCATAAATTTTTCTTCCAGAAAATGATGATGAAACAGTTTCTGTTGAACTCTTGGCACAAAAACATTTCAAATTTATGATTTCTGTCTAATAACTATTTAGTCAACATGTTTAATTTAAGTCAATGATGACAGGTATTGATAATTTCGATTCCAAATATCTGGAGAAACATTACTCGTAGCGATTTTTACCAAGAGACATTTTTTACGTGGAAAATATCGTAAATATTTTATACAGGTACGGACAAAAAGTTATTAGGCTTCAAAACAGTTAAAACACATGTAGGTAGCGCCCCCTACGAACAGGAGTCATATTGTGATTAAAATCAAATTTCTCATGTCAAAAAATTCCCAGACACCA